TCATCCTCCTCCTCCGCGTCCTTCTCCTCCTCCCCCCCCCCTATTCTAATCCTCCACCTCTTCCACCTCCTCCTCCTCCCCCTCCTCCTGCTTCTGCAGCGGCCGCGAGTGATTCTGGCCCGCCGGGCGCACAGCGTGCAGGGGTGGGTGGCCGCATGGGTGCACCGAGAGGCCACGCCTCACGAAATGGCTCTGGAAGGACAACAAACGAGACTTTGGAATTCGACGCCACTGCAACTCCTACCATCCTCGACCCTCGGGTCCGCGTGCCGGCCACTCAGGGCCGCGTGTCCTCCTCTGGCTCCTCCTCAGCCCCCTCCTGCTCCTCCTGAACCTCCTGCTCATCCTTCTCCTCTTCCTCCTCCTTCTCCTTCTCCTGCTCCTCCTCCTCCTCCTCCTCCTCCTCCTCCTATTCCTCCTCCCCCCCTCCTCCTTGTCCCCTTCTCCTGCTCGTCATGCTTCCACACTCCGCTCCTTCTCCTCCTCCTCCTCCTCCTCCTTCTCCTCCTCCTCATCCTCCTCTCCTCCTTGTCCCCCTCCTCCTGCCCCTCATGCTTCCATACTGCACTCCTTATCCTCATGCTCCTCCTCCTCCTCCTCCTCCTCCTCCTCCTCCTCCTCCTCCTCCTCTTCCTTGTCCCCTTCTCCTCCTTGTCCCCCTCCTCCTGCTCCTCATGCTTTCACGCTCCTCCTCCTCCTCCGAAAACGACACTCGTACACTCCAGGGTGGTATTGTGCATAATTGTTGCGGCTCTCGGGGGCCGAAAGTCGATGCACCGTACTACAACTTAGCCGAGGATCGGCCACGCCTCAGGAGGCGGCATCGTGGCATGGTGCGCACAAGCCGACCCCAGATGAGCGTCGTCGGACATGGCCCTACAATCGCACCCAGGACAGAAAACCGCCTTTCAAGAACGTGGGACCCTCCGTCGGACAAAACAAAGTTAACATCCAAAGGTACCCTCCCCAGGATGCACAAGAACATCCAACAGGTACGAAAAACATCAGGGTACCCTCCCCGAACCGACGACCTCGATCTTATACCTCGGCCGGACTGTAGAAGAAGAAACGGCGCAATCATACACTGTCGGAACTCCGCGCGGAGGAGGGAAGTGAGGAGGAGGAGAAGGACGAGGAAGAGGAGGAGGGAGGAAGGGAAGAGGAGGAGGAGGAGGAGGAGGAGGATGGGTTCTGGACACCCCCTTCCCTGGCTCGTGTAACGCGTCAGAAGCGGCGCCGAGGGACCGCCCAGGGGGGCCCAAGCGCCGACTCCAAAGAAAATCCGCGCGGAGCTTCGAAATATTCCTCCTCCTCATCTTTCTCTATCCCCGCCCCTCCCCCTCCCCCTCCCACCCTCCTCTCCCCTCCTCCTCCTCCTCCTCCTCCTCCTCCTCCTCCTCCTCCTCCTCCTCCTCCTCCTCCTCCTCCTCCTCCCCCTCCCCCTCCCCCTCCCATTCTCCTCCCCCTCCTCCTGGAAAGCGGGGCCGAGGCGTTCTACGTGGGGATAGGGGATAGTTATGAGCAAAATCCTGCAAGGCCTCGCGCGGCAACTCGAGGCCACGGCACATCGGATGCACGTCGGGCTTATGTCGGATTCACGTCGGCCTCTCGTCGGGCTCGCGTCGGAACATCGCCGCGCGAACGTCGACGCACATCTCACACAAACTGACGTGTGGACTAGATGCTACAACTAGTGCGCGCCGCGCAAGAATTTCGTGATGTTCCTCATAGGGACAGGTATGGCGATGCTGAGCGAATTCCTCGTGGGCGGAAAATACATCCGTATCCACGGCTTCGCGGGCTGGGCCCCTAGGCGGCTACACTGTGGATACGGGGCGTTTTCTCGCGGACGCCCCGCGCGGAACGCATCCGTGCGTCCACGTATCTGTGGGATCGCGCTCTGGAGTACAGACTGTGAGGACGTGGATATGGCTATGTCAGCCGCCCGTGATTTCTGTCTCCCTCATCCCTAGGAACCTCCATGTCAACCAACGCCTGGTCGTGCTTCAGGCGCAGCTCGTCGCGCTCCCGGGTGAGCTGCGGGCGGGGCCGGGGGAGGAGCAGCAGCAGGAGCAGGAGATGAGGGGAGGATGGCTACGAGGCAGGAGGAGGGAAGGAGGAGCAGCAGCAGCAGCAAGGAAGGGGTGAGTTCTGTTGAATGGAAAATGCACCCTTGCCGTTGAGCAATCCTCTGAGCCCTGGCAGACTTCTCGTCCTGTCGATTGTTCCACGCTCTTCTATTTCCGATCGTGCGCGCACTGGCCGCGAGCGCTGCGTTCCGATCGCTTTTGTCCTCGGATCGCGGTCATCAAGACGCGACGGCCTACGACAGCCAACGCTTGTCCAATGCAAGAACTCGCCATCGTTCGAACGTCCATTCCCCGTGCATTGTTCGATCTCGCGCTAGATGGTCCTCGCCGAGGCAAAAATGCACACGTCCGAGCGATGCCAAGAAAATGTCAGCAGGGCAAGGTGAGGAAGAGGCGGGAGACCGACGAGGCGGAAGCAAATGCTTCATCAGTCGGTCTGGCTCGGCCCGGTCGTCGGGGGGAGCCTGTCAGACTGATGCTGGACTAAATGCATCGCCGTGCGATTGTCGTGCATGTTGATTGCCACAACTTGATCGGACGGGGCAGAACGGCAAAGAGGCTGAGAAGCGACGAGGAAGAATAGGCAGAGGGAGCGAAGGCGCGACGCAAGCACTGTATGTAGCACACACCCAAACTGCTCTCTCTCTCTCTCTCTTTCTCTCTCTTTCTCTCGATGTATACGCTGGGCACGGGGCGGGGTGAGCGCGTCCTGAGTACGGAGTGGGCGTGCCAGATACTTTTTTTGTTTCTCTCTCTCTCTCGTTCTAATTCTCGTTTGTTGTTTCTCTTTCTTCTCTCTCTCTCTCTCCCTCTCTCTCTCTCTCCTTATACGTATGTGTATATGTACACATGTATGGTCGCCCCCCTGTGATCATACCTCTCTCTGCTTCTCTGCTTATTCATCGTGTTCCTCTCTCTTCTGTCTCCTCCCCCTCTCCTCTTCCTCCTCCTTCTCCTCCTCCTCCTGCTCCTCCTCCTCATCCTCCTCGTCATGCCCTTCCTGAGGGTAGAGAGGGACTGAGACCCAGCGCGAGAGAACACATCGAAGACAAAGCAAATGGTATGATCACAAGGGGGCGAGCACATGCATATACATATATACAACTATATATATATATATATCCATAGTTTTATACGTCCTTTTAGATGTGTATATATGGATACACAGGCATCTCTGTACATATCTTTATATAAATATATGTGAGTATGTGAATGTATACGCACTGGAGCCATCGCGCGCGCTTCGCGCGCGCTCAAGTTCTAGCTAGGATTGATCGGCCAACTCATGTAATATCATGTTGGTCGCTTCTTGCGTCCAGGGGCTCCCTCGGAGGCCCGGCGCAAGCCTTGGAATCGTATAGAAGGGGAAATGCGGAAACGCGGAAACCATTAATTTCCTTAAGGAATTTAACGATTTGGGGCCCTCAAAGGCTTCCTGGGTTTTTGGGGGGAGGTGAGGGGGTCTGAATTGTGGTCTGTTGTGCAAGAGTAGGTCGGGGGCCAAACTTGAAGAAAAAAAGGAGTTGTGGGATTGCCATTATTTTCCAATTCCTCGGCGCTGTTCGGCGCTGTTTTCTGTTTGTGCCTCGCGGGATTTGTTAGCCGGGCCCCTCAGGGGTGTGGGATCTTCCGGACCCCCTGCGGGTTCTGGAGGCCGGGGCTCCTTGGGGTCGTCTTGGGCTGTCCTTGGGCGTCTTGGGGGCCCCCCGGGAAGCCGGGAGGCGCGGCACCGGCCAAATGTCAGGGGATGTGGGGTCTCCGAGTCGGAGCCCCACTTTGAAAAAACAAACGGGAATTCTGGAAATTTCCTTTTCTTCAGCAAAAAATCCTGGATCTTCGAGAGTTGGAAGCGGGAAAACGTCAGAAGGCGAAAAACCACAGAAAAACCATAGGAAATCAACGATGTTACCCTCTTTGGGCTCTCTCGGGACGGCTCTCGCAGCTCTCTTGGGCTGTTCTTGGAGCCTCGTCGGGGTCTTTTTGGGACCTCTCAAGGATCGGGGGTGTGTTGGGGGCCTCTGGGGGGTCCCGGAGGCCTCTCAAAGGTCTCTGGAAGCCTCCTGCTCCCGCTCTTGTATTTTGGGCCTGTTCTGGGGTGGTCTCGGGCTGTCCTGGGCGCCTCTTCGGCAGTCTTGGAGCCTTCTTAGCTCGTCTTGGGGCCATCCTGAGAGTCTCTTGGGTGGTCTCGGGGCGATCTTGGGAGCCTCTTCGGCGCTCTTGAACCATTGGAAGCTCGAAAACGGGAGACACCAAAAGCATGCAAAAAACAAGTGACAATCTACAATTTGGGCCTCTTCGGGCCGTCCCTGGACGCCTCTCGGACCTCTCTTGGGGTCTCTTGGGGTCTCTTGGAGGCCACCTGGGAACCTCGAGAGCCGTCCGAAGACTGACTTGGGCTGCTTGGGAGCGTTTTGAACCATCCTTCGCATTCTGGGTGCTCCTGGGAGGCGTCTTGGGCCATCCTGGGGCGCTGCGGAGGCTCCCTGGAAAGGCCTCTTGGGCTCCTGGGGGGCGTTCTTGGGCGGTTTGGGCGCCTCGTGGGCCGTCTTGGCCCCCTCGTGGGCCGTCTTGGGGCCCTCTTGCGGGCATCCTCAACGGCTTGGGTGCCTCTTGGGCCGTCTTGGACGCAGTGGAAGCCCAAAAGGCGAACACGCCAAAAATAGTACCCTGGCGACGTACCCAACCCTTGCGCAAAAATGAGCATGAGCGCATCAGGAATGCTACACCGGGGGCGACGTCGAAACATGCACGCATATGGTTTTGCGAGCAGCAACGGGAATGCTCGCAAGCCCCCGATCAAGTTAGTTGAACCGCTAAAGCAAAGGGACAAGGGGGAACGACCCGGAAGTGCAGGTGGGCGGGATGCTGAACACATCGGCCGAGAAGCAACAACATGACATGGCGAGGTCACGGGAGTGACGACGAAAGGAAGGCAGACAAAGGACTGGGACGAATATCCGAAGCATGCCAACAACTCGTTGCAGCCCTCGAAAGTGGCGACGGTTTCACAAATCGCAGCCACCCAGGGATGGCGAGGTCCTGTTTGGATCCGCGGTGAGTACCCTCTCTGCTGGCCTCCCCAGCAGCCCTCGCAAGTGGCGACAGTTTCACAGATCACAGCCCCCCAGGGATGGCGAGGTCCTGTTTGGATCCGCGGTGAGTACCCTCTCTGCTGGCCTCCCCAGCAGCCCTCGAAAGTGGCGACAGTTTCACAGGTCGCAGCCCCCCAGGGATGGCGAGGTCCTGTTTGGATCCGCGGTGAGTACCCTCTCTGCTGGCCTCCCCAGCAGCCCTCGAAAGTGGCGACAGTTTCACAGATCGCAGCCCCCCAGGGATGGCGAGGTCCTGTTTGGATCCGCGGTGAGTACCCTCTCTGCTGGCCTCCCCAGCAGCCCTCGAAAGTGGCGACAGTTTCACAGATCGCAGCCCCCCAGGGATGGCGAGGTCCTGTTTGGATCCGCGGTGAGTACCCTCTCTGCTGGCCTCCCCAGCAGCCCTCGAAAGTGGCGACAGTTTCACAGATCGCAGCCCCCCAGGGATGGCGAGGTCCTGTTTGGATCCGCGGTGAGTACCCTCTCTGCTGGCCTCCCCAGCAGCCCTCGAAAGTGGCGACAGTTTCACAGATCGCAGCCCCCGGGATGGAGGTCCTCCGCCGCTGGCCTCCCCAGCAGCCTCGAAAGTGGCGACAGTTTCACAGTCGCAGCCCCCCAGGGATGGCGAGGTCCTGTTTGGATCCGCGGTGAGTACCCTCTCTGCTGGCCTCCCCAGCAGCCCTCGAAAGTGGCGACAGTTCACAGATCGCAGGGGATGGCGAGAGGTCACAAATCGCAGCTCGCGCTCAAATCTGCGCGGTGCCTCAACCCACACGGCGGGAGGAGACAAGAGGGAGGCGGGAGGCGGGAGGCGGGAGGAGCAAGACGCGACCACGGTGCTCTATTCAAAACGAATACCCAACCAAGGAGGGTTGGGAATTAGTTTTCCCATCGGAAATCGAGGATGCTTGCTTATTTGGGGCTATATTGGGGTGCCTCTTGGGGTGCTTCGGGGCCTCCTTTGCTGTTTTTTCGGATCTCATGGGGGCCTCTTGGGGCTTCTGGGGCGTAATTGGAGCCTGTTGGGGTCTCCTGGGGGCATCTTGGGCCAAAAGGTGCGAATTTCCGGTTCCTCGTCCACGTCTTGTGCGCCGCCTTGGGGCGTTCTTGGGCGGTTTGGGCGCCTCGTGGGCCGTCTTGGCCCCCTCGTGGGTCGTCTTGGGGCCCTCTTGCGGGCATCCTCGACTGGCTTGGGTGCCTCTTGGGCCGTCTTGGACGCAGTGGAAGCCCAAAATTCGTACACGCCACTAATATCAGTTTTCCCACAGGAAATCGATGATACTTGCTTATTTGAGGCTATATTGAGGTACCTTTTGGGGTGCTTCGGGGCCTCTTTAGCTGTTTTTTCTGGTCTCATGGGGGCCTCTTGGGGCTTCTGGGGCGCTTCTTGGCGCCTCTTGGGGTCTCCTGGGGGCATCTTGGGCCAAAAGGCGCGAATTTCCGGTTCCTCGTCCACGTCTTGTGCGACGCCTTGGGGCGTTCTTGGGTGGTTTGGGCGCCTCGTGGGCCGTCTTGGCCCCCTCGTGGGCCGTCTTGGGGCCCTCTTGCGGGCATCCTCGACTGGCTTGGGTGCCTCTTGGGCCGTCTTGGACGCAGTGGAAGCCCAAAAGGCGAACACGCCAAAAATATCAGGTTTCCCATAAGAAATCTACGATTCTTGCATATTGGAGCTCTGTCGGGGTGCCTCTCGGGAGTCTTCGGGGCCTTCGGGGGCCTTCTTGGCGTCATGGGAGTCGTCTTGACGGGCATCTGGGATATCGGAGCGCGTTTTCGAGCGCTCCGAAGCCATCTTCGGGCGATCTTGGACGGCCCCCGGCGCTCCAGCAGGGCTCCCGGCGCGCCAGGCCCCACATTTGTGGTCGTGGATCCGGCCCCCAGACCCGGTCCCCCGTTGTGTGTGTATATATATGTATATATATATATATATACCATTATCTCTCTCTCTATATATATATATATATATGTAGAGCCACGCGGTCGCTTCGCGCGCGCTTAGGTTCTAGCAAGCTCTAGTTGTAGTAACAAGTAATGACATCAATTTTCGCACAGGTCTTGCCCTCAGAGAGCTCCACCTGCTGCCCCAGAGACAGGCTTGGCTACTTGGCTAGCGTTCAACCGCCCTTGTCGGCACACCCTTCACAGGGATCGCGCCCCACAGGGAGCTCCACCTTCCAGAGACAAGATTCGCATAGTGGCACGCCCCTCACGCGGATCGTGCCCCACAAATAGCTGCATGTGCGGCACCAGAGTGAAGCTTCATAACGTCGCCCCGCTCACTTCGGCACGCCTCTCTCACAGATCGTGGCCCGCAAAGGGTTCCACGGACGGCCCGGACACACGGTTCGCGTCCCGCCCCCCCGTCTACTTCGGCAAACCTCGCACACGGATCGTGGGCCAGAAAGATCTCCACCTATGGCCCCAAAAGGCAAAATTCGCACTGCGTCCCCCTGGGTTACTGCGGCACACCCCATCACGCGGATCGTGCCCACAAGGAGCGCCACCTAAAGGCCCAAGAACAATACAGCGCTCCCCCGCCCATGTCGGCAGACCCGTCACGCGAACAATGCCCCAAAGGAGCTCCACTCATGGCACCAATGGGCAGCTTCGCATGGCGTACCCCCGCCCATTTCGGAACATGCCTCGCACGGGTCGTGCCTGGAGGTGGTCCACCTGTGGCCTCAGGGGGGGCGTTCGCGTGAGGATATCCGAATTATTCGGCACACCCTTCACGCGGATCGTGCCCTACAGGGAGTGCAGGAACTCAGCACACCCGCGCACGCGTGTTCCGCACCAGCCATCTTCCCGCATTGCCACGCGGAACACAGTGTATGAAGAGAGGCCCGCGCCCTGCGCCAGACACGGCTGCATAGGGATGGGTCCGTCGCCAAACCAATTACTTGGATGGCATGCGGTCCATACCGCTAGTGTACCTGAATTTTGGGCCAGAGGATCTTTGGATACCTAAATTCGGGATCTCTTGACATGCGGCATGCTTCTCGGGCGCCTCGTGGTGCGACTATTTAAGCTTCTTGTGGCCTCAAGTGGGCCATGTGGGGGCCTCTTGGGGTATCGTTTGTGGCCCTTGGGGGCCTCTTGGATGCCTGCTGTGGCCTCGGGCGCCCACTCGCTGCGGAGGGCTCGAAATGTCAATTGGAATTCCTCCTCGTGAACTCCTCTTGATGTCCTATTGGGCCGTCTTGGGCGCCTCTTGGGCCGTCTTGGGGCTCTCTTGGGCCGTCCTGCGGCTCTCTTGGAAGCCTCTTGGGTTTTCTTGGCGCGATCCGTGGGGCCTCTTGGGCCGTTGTGGACGCTGTTAAGACCCAAAATGCGAATATGCCAAAAATGCACCGTTCAACCAGGGGATGAAACAATTTTGATCTCCTGAGGCCCTCTCGGGGCCCATCTTGGAGCCTTCGACGTCTTCGGGGCCTCTTGAACCGTCTTGAAACAATATTCGGGCGTCTTCGGCCCTGGTCGCTTTGTGGTGGCCTCCAAGAGGCCCCAGGAAAGATCAAACATGTGGCGGGGGAAATCCGGGAGTGTGTCCTGGCCCCGGCCCCGGGCCCCGGCGTCCCTCCGCCCCGTGCCCCGCGTCCTCCGTCTTTCCGATGCGAGCCTCGCGCAGAAACTTCTCCTCCTCCTCCTCCTCTTCTTCCTCCTCATCTTCGATTCCTTTTCCTGATTAATCCCCCCTGTCGCAAACCGAGGCCAGTTGTTGAGGCGGTCTGGGCATTTCGCCTGAGACTTCCTCACAAATCATTGCCCTGAAGCTTTAAACCTGACAACAACTTCACAGATGGAGGGCGGGTGGTGTTCACAATGTGGCTCTCGCCTTAGCGCCGCGCGCATTCGCTTTGAACACAAATTCAAAAGTTTCACGGATTGAGGGCGGGTGGTTTTCTAGATGTGGCTCTCGCCTTAGCGCCGCGCGCAAACGCTGTAAACATGTGCAAGAACTTCACAGATTGAAGGCGGTTCCCTTTTCAAGATGTGGTTCTCGCTTTAGCGCCGCGCACATTCGTTTGTAACATGTGCAAGACTTTCACGGGATCCCACGATCAGGGTGACAGTTTTGGAAGGATTCCGGATTATGACGGCGCAACAGTTACTTTGATTCGCGGTGTTGAAATCCCAAGAACGGTGTTGGGGCACGATTCGAGATCGTCAAGACGCAACAATCAGGTTGATCCGTGGCGTTGGAAGCCACACATCAATGTTTTGGCATGCCTCAGGGTCTTCAAACTGTTGTCTTCCAACAAAGCAATTAACTCCCTGCAGAAATGCACCGATATAAGAGCCTATAAAGAGAGTTTGGACGGAGGGTATATTCTACCATCGTAGAAGAGTATTGGGTTTCCACTGGTCCTCCTCCACCTCCTCTTCCTCCATTTCCTCTACCTATTCCTCCTTCCTCCTCCTCCTCCTCCTCTTCCTCCTCCTCCTACTCCTCCCCCCCCTCCTCCTCCTGCTCCTCCTCCTCCTCCTCCTCCTCGTCCTCGTCCTCGTCCTCCTCCTCCCCTTCCCCCCCCTCCCCCTTTTCCTCCCACATCTTTCCTCTCCTCCTCCTCATCATTCTCCTCCTCCTTCTCCTCCTCCTCCTTCCTCCTCCTCCTCCTCCTCCTCTCCTCCTCCCCCCCTCTTCCTCCTCCTCATCCTCCTGTTCATCATCCTCCTCCTGCTCCTCCTCCTCCTCCTCCTCCTCCTCTCTCCTCCTCCCCTCCTCCTCCTCCTCCCTTCCCTCTCCTCCTCTTCCTCCTCCTCCTCGTCCTCCTCGTCCTCGTCCTCCTCCTCCTCCTCCTCCTCCTCCTCCTCCTCCTCCTCCTCCTCCTCCCTCCTTCCCCTCCTCCATCCCCTCCCCCTTCCGTCCCTCCCTGCCTCCTTCCCTCTCTCCCTCCTTCCTCCATCCTCCCTCCCTCCCTCCCGCGGCGTCAAGAATCAGCCGGCGCCGGCAACGCTCGAGCATGTCCACTGCCACTGCGCCGACGAGGCTTGCGCTGCGGATAAGCGTGGAAAAGACGCCGGTGTCGACGCCGATGTCGAAAACTGGGTTGGAGCACAAACGGCCCGACCCGGCCGAGAAGGGACTGTTTCGATGCATTTCGATATCACGGCTCCTGTCATCAGCTTGATCATCGCCGTGTACCCCTGCTGCCCGAGACGCCCCCATCTGCCAATCTTGCGTACTGAATTGTTCGTAGAATTTGCCGATGGCATCGCTTCCGCTTTTGCTCATCTCCCGCGCGGAAATATAGGCATGCCGGTGTTGCTGATGACGATGACCGTATCGTGGCTGGCAACAGATGTAACATGCGTAATGATGGCCATGCAGTGCTGCATGATGTCCTGGGTGATGTTGTTCATGATGACTGACCGATGAGGATGAGGATCGGCGTGTTTTTCCCCTGGGCCAACCAGACACACTGCAACTGGATGCGCGCCCAGCGCAAAGCCTTCCCCTGTAGGAGAACATGGAAGCGGCCACTGGTCGATCCGAACAGCGCGATGTCCGCCCTTAGACCAGCCACATGTCCGGATCGTCGACGGCAGAAAAAACAGGCACCTGAGTCGGCCAGACAAATGGCACAGACGAGGTCGGCCATCAGGTCTCTGCTGCCGAGAAAAGGCAGTCGAGCGGTATTCGCGTCGTCGATCGTCGAGGCGCGGACCGCGAGCGCCCGCTGATGGACGCCGACTCGCAGAGACCAGCTTTCGAAACCTGTCGCAAGAGATCCAGGGCCGAAGCGACACTGCCCACGTTCAAGACGCGCGCATACCTGGATGTCCTGGAGGTCGAGAAAACGAGTCTGGAACAGCGACGAAGCTCGCAATCCCGCAGCGGTAGTTTGACATGTAGTGTCCAGTACCAGCAAGCTCGCATCGATGTCGATATTCTCGGCGATGAAGACCTTGCGAATGGTGGTCGTCGCACAAACTGTCCGTTCCTTATGGGGGCTGTTGATCGAATGATGCTATCGCTGGCCACCGCTGTAAGTCATCATAATCTGTCGCGCACGAGTGGGCTCATGATGTTGAACTTCGGCCTTTCGCGTACAGCACCGTGACCTTGCTCCTTCTCTGCGCGAGGTATCCGAGTTCCCATCGATGTACGTATACTCGGCTTCGCTCCGATCGCGCGATGTACACATTCGGACACTGCCACAGCACATAATCAATTTGCCGTGCAGGCCTGTCGGGTAGATACCAGGTCGCTCCCGCGCAAGACCTGTCGTCGCCATTGCGCGCGTCCCAAGCCGCGCCCGAAGGGGGGCGCGCCCCGTTCGCCACCGGCCGCCCGCCGATGACTGCGCCGTCTCGTTCGCCGCACCGCCTCGACGAAGACCGCCCAGATGAACGGGGGGGCGGAGGTGCACCGGCCAAATGTCGGGCAACATCAGCACCTCCTCATCGCTTGGGTCCTCGGGCCTCGGGCCCAGGGCTCTAACCAAAATGCTTCGCGCGGAGGCGTCGCACCGAAAGTCGCTGCCCTGTCGCCCGCGTCGATGGTCGTCCGCCCGCGCGTCTCCTCGGCCACCGGCCGCGACCGGCACCGCAGTTCGGGCGAGCAGAGTCGCCCAGGTCGATGCCCACACAATCCGTGAGAATTGGACGCCGACCAGCCCCCTGCACGCACGTCTCAAGGTCGTTCGGCCCCATGACCTCAACTCGCCCACGTACCTCATTTCGCCCCGGTTCCCCGCGCGTCGGCCGCGGAATACCTTCTCCCCCGCCGTCGCGGCCGGCCTGGCGAAGAGCGCTCCGGCTTCTCCGGGACAGGCCAGGCCTCCGCCGCAAAGATCGTCAGCTCGCAATCGTCGCCGAGCACCCCCCCTGCAGCGCCGCCTCCAGCGGCGCGCTTCGAGCTCCGCAGAGCTCGCAGGCCCTCCACCACCAAACGGGGCTGATGCTTCTCGCGCGTCTTCGCCCGACCTCCGAGAGACCGCGCATGCTCGTGCCCTCCGTGACATTGTCGCGCCACGGCTCGAGCGATGGGCGGGTCGCGCGTCGCGAACCCGGTCGCCCAGCGAGCCGGATCCATCCGCCAGTACCTGGCCAAAGAAGCACCGGTCGCACCGCGCGCGCTGCATGCCACTCGCCGCCGCAATATTGACGACGCACGCCTCGCCCCACGAGGTCGCCTCCTAGGGGAGCTCGAAGAGCCCCTGGCCGCCCCTGGCCACCTGTTGCCGCGCCAGCGAGCACGCGAACTCCTAGGCGCTCGCGGCTCGCCCCCAGCAGCTCCCAGAACCCACCGGGCTTCGTCGGCGCGCCCTGCGCCCATCATGGGCCCAGCCAGATCGGACCAAGAACGAGTAAGCACGGCTTCTCCACGTCAAGCCGCCCCTGCGCCCCCTGCCGGTCGCCGTCGAGCCCGAGGCCCCAGCCCGGGCGCGCATCCATGGCCGCGCCTGCGTGCAAGCCGACAGCGCTGGCCTTGCAACGAAATTGCGCTCGGGGGCGCGCCTCCGCCTGCGCCGCGGCCTCCGCGCGCAGACCGCGCGCGGCCACCATCGCGGCGCCCACGTCGCCCTCCGCGCCGGGCACCTGGATCTCAATGTGCCCTTTCATGGTCGGTGGACACGCGCCCATATCCGAACCCTCGTGGCCCGCCAGGGCTGCCTCCTAGGCAGGCGGCGGCGCCGCCTGCAAAGCCCGCGCACCCGCTGCCGCGCCGGCCGCCCCTGCCGCGGCAGGGCCGCAGCCAGGGCCGCCGCGGCCAACGCGGCCGCTGCAGCCCCTGCGCCTCCCGCGCCCGAGGGCGAGGCCGCCGCCGCGGCCGCCGCAGCCGCCGAGGCCGCTGCAATCTCTTCCAGGCCTCCTGCGCTTGCGGGCGAGGCCGCCGCTGGAGCCGCCGTGGCCGCCGAGGCCGCTGCAGTCGCCCCCGCGCCCGAGATCTCCTCGCGCGCCCCCTGGGCCTGCCCTGCAGACGCAGGCCTCCAGAAGGCCTTCGTGAGCCGCTGCCGGCCCGCATCTGCTTTGGCCAACTCGATCTCCGAACGCGCCCTGCAGTCCTCGGAATGCATCGGCGCCCGCTCGTGCTCGGCGATCGCCCTGCAGCCTGGGCACCCCCGCGTAAACCCACGTTTCACAAAGCCCCCCCTCTCAAGCCCGGCGGGCCGCTACAGGCGCCTCCTCTGCATCGGCCGCCGGATCTGGCAAGTCAGGCAAAATGGCCCGCGCCGGAGCCCGCAGGCTCCGCGGCCCACCCCACGGACGAGCAGCGACGGTGTTCGGGAACGCCGGGTCGTAGCGCCCCGTCGCCTCGCACCTTCGCGCCGTCTCCGCTTTGCGCGCGCCCCTGGACGCGCCCGCGTAGAGCTCGTCGACCCTGTCCGACAGGCCCAAAAACACGCCCTCACACACACACACACACACACACACACACACACACACACACACACACACACACACACACACACACACACACACACACACGCACACACACACACACACCGCGGCCCGACCCGGGAGGGGGCACTGGTCGCGCCGGGGATTGCGAGGAACACCTTCTCCCCGAAGGCTGGGGGGGCTCAAACAAAACCGCGCCCCTCGCGAAGCTCGAAGGCTGTCCTGCCACCGGGCCCGCGGCGCTCGCGATTGATCATCGCTGCCAAATACTTCGCCAACCGTGGGATGATCGGATGCTGCAGGTTGAAATTCTGGCCGCGCCGCGCCGCCAGGCGCGCCAGATTAGCCCGCGCAGCGTCCTTCGCCTCGCGGACGGCGGCCATCGCGAGACCGTCGCCATGCGAGCCGTGCCCAGTGGACCCCCCCAGCTTCGCGCGCGCGCCCTCGAGCTTGAGCGCCGCCGCCACCGACGTCTTCAGCGCCGCGATGGACGCCTCGCCGTCGCCCCCGAAGAGCACCTCATCGAAACCGCTGCCCACGACGTCGCTCGCCAGCTCCCTCGTCGCGCACTCGCAGGCCCCCATCGCTTGAACCGCCGCGGCTCCGAGCCAACGGTCCCCCGCGCACCTGCTGCGCAGCGGGAGCGCGCGCGGTTGGCGCTGGGCGTCTGCGCCCCCGTCGCCCAAACGGCCGCAGTCGCAGCCCACCACCAGGATGCCGACCTCTGGGCCGCCAGAGGTGCGGCGATGCATCCGGCCGCGCCCAGCGCAGCACACCCGGCACCGCGCTCGGAAGACCGAAGGGCCACCTGCGATGTGCCCCTGCCGTTCGGCCGCTGTCGGCCGAGCAGGTGCCGCCAACCGCTTGATTGGGGCGCCCTCCTCAGCCTCCATGCAGGCGCCCGTGTCAAGAGGGCATATCCCTCGCCCCTCCATCGACGCGACCTCGCACAGCTCCTGCGCCGAGGTGAACGGCAGATCCTCGTGGGGCCTCAGGCGCAGCCTCAGGTGCCACGCCGCCGTTTCCGAATGAGGTTCACGCGTGTCCCAGAAGCACTGCGGAGGATGCAGGCCCCGCTATCGCCGGCAGGGAACACCTCCCAGCGACGACAGATCAGGTCGTCTATCGCCAGCGACGCCTTAAGTGACGCGGAAGCGCACGAGGAGGACGGCCGCCTAGCCGTCGGCGTCGCCCGCCCAATTACAGCCAAGAGATCTGCGCGCCCTCATCGCGCAGTCGGCCGCCTCTGGCAGCCGCGTGATACTGCCCGTTCTGGCCGAGCCTCGTCGGGCGGAGAGGGTGCGAGACCCGGCTCGCACACCTGCCGGGAGGCAGCTGGCCTCCGCGCCGGAGCCCACTTCGACGTCCAGCCACTCGCCCGGCCGGACGAACGAGCGGGGCCGCCCGCGTCCGAATCCGAAGGGCCCCGGAGCGGGACTGCCCGCATCCCTCCTGCGCTCTCGAGGCCGCCCTCGGTGTCGGCGCCGCAATCGAACGGGCCTTCGGCCCAGTGCATTGGGCGGCCAGGTGCCCAGGCTGGCCGCAATTGAAGCACATCCTCTCCTTGCCCTTTCCTCTACATTTCCACCCTCCCCCTCCTCGTCCGCGCTGCTGCTGCTGACGAGGAGGATGGGGGTGATGCTGACGATGAGGTTGGTGATGCTGTCGTGCGCCTCCTGGCGCATTGCAAGCACCAGCGACGTCGCGCTCGTTGCGAGTCGTGTCCTTGCGTGAGCACTCCACCTTCGCGTGCGACTTCGCCCCGCACCTCGGACGCGCGTGCCGCTGTCGCTGGTGCCCCCCCGCGGCCCGGGCCCGCGCCTCCGCCGCCGGGTCAGCGTCGGCCGCCCCCTTTGGCCACGGCGCCGATGTCCATCGGCACCGGCTGCGCCCGCGCAGATGCGATCTCCGCCCGGAAATCGGCCCGACGCGTCAGCTGGTCCACCTTCATCAGGGGGCGGGTCTTGCGGGGCGACTCCGAGGGGCGCAAGAGGAATGTCCCAATCTTCGCTCCATCATCGAGCGTCTTCTCCGAGTCACGCTCGCACGCGGCGATCTCGCGCCCCCGTGCGGTGAGCCGTTCGGGCGCATCGCCTTGCAGCGAGAAGGACAGGATGCGCATCGGCTGCCCCGCGATGCGCGTCCGCATCTTGGGCTCGCACTTTTCCGCCCGCTGCCGCCACGCCTCCAGCCCCCACTGTCCCCGGCGAGGAGAACGATGTTGAGCGCTGCGCCCTCACACAGCATAAACAACATCCAATACCAGCTGCGCACTGGCCTGCGAATCTGTTTGGTCCGTCAACGCCACGTTGGGCACTGGGGCCGTCGACTGGGCAGCCGACTGCATCAGCGACGTCAGCCGTGGGACTGCGGCCCCAGAATAGTTTTTGAAGACAGCGCTCCAGTCCCGCCACGCAGGCTGCTCCCCAGAAAAGTCACGGGGTTTGCCCAACAGCCTAGTGTCGACGCCTGCGATCGCAGCAGCCTGCGCCCTCGGCACTGGCGCCCCTGCGTCGCCAGGAGCGGCCGCCCCACGGGCTGCTGTCGTTTCCGCGCGCCCGCGCCAGGTCTGCCTCCAGCTGCTGCTGGCGCGCCTGCAACTGCCTGACGGCCTCCGCCACTGGCGGCCTCCCTGGTTCCTATTGGGACCTCTCCTCAACCTCCTCCTATTCGGTCTCGTCCCACGCGGGGCTACCCGCAGCAGGATTTAAGACCACCTCCTCGTGCGCGGGGCTATCCACAGCAGGGCCCTCCCGCGCGGAGCTACCCGCAGCGGGATGGCGTGGCGCGTCCTCTCGCGCGGGGCTACCCGCAGCGATGTCGCGCGCAGCCCCCCGGCGTGCTCTCATCTCCAGAAGCCGCCACAACGCCAGCGCGGCGCGCCGCCATGAGCCCCTCGCCTCCCGCGAGTCTCGGCGATCCTCTGAGCGCTTGCCGCGTTTGTAGCGCTTCACCGTGGAACCGCCCGGCTCCGCTACCATCAAAAATTCGTTTATTCCGCTGCCTCAAATCGAAACGGCTTCGGTATGAAAGTCCATGCAACAAGAGATGCAAGCAACGAGGCGTGACATTTGCCATCCACGGAGGCAGCAACGTGCGATATTCCATCAATGTTTGAAGGTCTTTGGCGCTCCTCGTCTTTTCGATGTACCGGGGTTGTCAGAAGGCGCAAAAAGGCTTCCAGGATCGCCCCAACACCGAAAAAAAGCCTTCAAGCGAGGGCCTCAAGACAGCCCCAGAGGCCTCCAAGATGGCCGAAGAGGCTCCCAAGACGGCTCCAGGAGCGGGCCCAGACGGGGGACACGAACGGACATTTTGAGCGGGCCTAAGAGGCGTCCAGGAACCCCCCAGAGGCCCCCAAGAGCCTCCCAAGAGGCTGCAAGATGCCCCCAAAAAGCCCCAAAAGAGGTCCCAAAAGAGGTGACAAAAGAGGTCCCAAAAGAGGTCCCAAAAGAGGTCCCAAAAGAGGCCCCAGGCCCACAGGAAGCCCCAAGAGGCCCCCCAAAAGCCCCCGAGAGGCCCCTCTGAGGCCTCCACAGAGGCTCCCTCAAAAATGACCCCAAGAAGCATCTATGAGGACTCTCACCCACAACCCAGGTACATCTCGAAACTCAACTGAAACTCTCTTGAGCTACCTTGGCGCCCTCTGGGGCAGTCTATCGGCTCTCTTCGACAGGGTGCGAGCCACATCTCCAAAGATCTCCTTGAAGACGTCCTGCCTGCCACACCGTCCTCCCTGGGTACGAGCACACGACCAGGCAGCCACAGTGACACGAAATGGGACGGCGGAGTGAGCGAAACGATATAAATAATGATGGGATTCCGCTCGGGGCTGTGTTGTCGGTTTGTCCAGAGATAAGAATCAGCATCAGCAGCAGCAGCGTCATCATCACCAGCATCAGCATCATCATCATCAACATAAACGTCATAATCATATTAACCATGCATTCATCAACATCAACAGCATCAGCACCGCCGTCGTCGGCAGCATCAGAATCGTCATAATCATCGGCATCAGCCGCAGTATCATGATAACCCACGTCGCCATCATCACCATCAAAATCCGCATCACCAGCACCATCACCACTATCATCATCACCACCATCATCATCATCATCATCATCATCAGCATCATCATCATCATCATCATCATCATCATGTGCATCAGTATCATTACTACCATCCGTATCATCATCATCATCATCATCATCATCACCATCACCATCACCATCACCATCACCATCACCAGCATCATCATCGTTATCGTCACCAACCTGTCCCTGCTTCTCCTCATCCTCCTCCTCATCCTCCTCCTCATGTTCCTCCGCCTCCTCCTCTTCCTCGGCATCGTCCTGTCCCTCGTCGCCAAAAGAACACCAGCAGTAACGTCAGCAGCAGCTGCATCGCATATGGCCCCCTCTTTCCTGCCCTGCGCAACTTGTCTGCCCAGAGCTCTCAAGGCCACAAGCCCTCAGGACCGCGCCCTGCTCGCTTCGAGCCGTGGCAGAGCCCCGTCCCCGCTGCTGGGGGCCCACGGCGCACCTCATCCGCGCCGTTCGGAACACATCGCCCGATCCCATGGGAACCCCGTCGCGCGCACCAGTCGCAACCCGGGGGGGGGGGGGGGCGGGGGCGGGGGGGAAAAAAGGAAGAGGGAGAGGGGGAGGAGGAAGATGGGAGGAGGGAGCAGGGAAGGAGGTCGGGGGGAAGGAGGAGTGCGGAGTGAGGAAGGAGGAAGGAGCCAAGAAAAGCGGGTGAGGAGGGAAGAAGATACGGCGGACCGCCACGGGTGCACACACGAACACACGCACGCACGCATGCACGCACGAACGTACATGCGCGCACACACACACACACACATACACGCACGCACGCACGCACGCACACGCACACACACATACACATATTCACCCACACACACACACACTTCTTACGTCGGCGGCTAGACAGAGTAACTGCGCTGGCGGAAAAGCCATCAAAACGTGGATACCGTTGAAGCGAATCGTGCCACAATGCAAGCAAATGGAGGATGACAGGGCGGCGGCCGACAGACAGACAGACAGACAGACAGACAGACAGACAGACAGACAGACAGACAGACAGAGTCCCGCGCTGAAGGCACCTACGCAAGTGAAGCGGGTGGGCGCCGAGGCGCCAGGACAGAATGAGCTGGCCGCGCAGAGGTAGGAGTCGTAGCGGAGTGGGAGTCAAAAGCTGGAATCGGATGTCAAAGGCCGTGTGGGGTGCTGCGGGTGCGGCGCCAGAGCGACAGAGAGTCTGATACGGAGGCCGCATCAGAAATCTTGCCCGAATTTGTTCCATAGGTCCGTTGTCGCAACATCATATATACCCATTACCCATATGAACCCTTTGCACAGATGGACCTCTGGAAGGCTCATGGACCCGTTGCCCAAATGGATCTCTGCATGGCTTCGGACGTCGTCGGTCCATCTGGTTGTGGGGCGTCCCGGCCTCCGCTCTGCATGATATGATGGGTCGCGTTGCGGCGTCCATTGGATCGCCTGCTGGATCCATTCCTCATCGTCTGTCGTGCTCACCTTGTTGCAACCACTTCCGTTTCCGTTCCTTCACAGGATAAAGCCCAATCCTTGATTCGTAACCGCTCAATTGCGGCCTCTGCATCGTGACTAGCACGCTTGATCAATTGTACCCATGGTTCCAGAGATTATGGCGTTGTCGTCGTCGTGCGCTTGTGGTGTGGTGGGCGTGCGGCCTGACGTCGTGCTATCGCCCTCGTCCGCGCTGTCGTCGCCGTATTGGTGGCTGCCGTCGTGTTGGTCGTTGGTATTGGTCTGAGTTGGATGCGATGTCTGCTATGGGCTCGCAGTTGCTGCGTTACGTCTCGGTACTCGCACGATCATGCGCAGCATCTGCCCTTGCGTTTGCCGCAGTCGATTTGCAAGCTCAGTCGTGAGTGTCCAAGCTTCGCAACCGCATGAAATCGTCGGCGTGATATTCCGTTGGAAAGTCGTAGCCGGTCAGACCGTGAATACTTGTTCCCCGTTAGCTCGTCCTTGAATGCGTGGAACTTCTGCCATGCCGTCGCGACGCGGCTTCCCAGGTCCGCAGCGCGGACCGCGCTGTTTCGACATCGCCGGCCCCGATACTTCGCGCCGCGGCATGGCGGCAGCACTGCGATCTTCATGCCGAGCACGCGCGCGTAGTCAGGGGCGCGATTGCCGCGTGGTGGCCGGTGGCCGTTGTGTATAATCCCTGTTTTGTCGGGGTCGAATTCCAGGCCCGCATTGCCCGCCTCATTGATCATGTCGGCGAGAATGTCTGTAAGATGGCTGAGTGACCCCGCGAGCAGTAAAATGTCGTCTGCGAATCGAAAACAAATGAGACGGGTATTTCCGCGCAGCTGGAATTTGAAGCCGTAGTTCTTGGATGGCCATTTTGCGCTGGCTCCTCTCAGCTTACTTTCTGATACGCAGTTGAAAAGCAAGGAACTAAGGGAATCCCCCCCTTTCGTTCCTCGTAGGACGTCGAACTGCCTGCTGGGGCGGTCTGCGTGGACTGAAGCTGCCAGTCGCTCGCACAGCGTTGCCAGCAAACGCACGCATGGTCTTGGGGCGCTCTGTTGTGCCATCGACTCCCAGATTCTGTCGCGCGCGATGCTGCCGAGTGCCCTTTTGAAGTCAACGGCGGCTGACCACATTGGGAATTGCCAATCGTCTGAGACGAATGGCACAACCGTCGCCGCGAGCAAGCGGCCAGTCGTGCTCTGGCTTGGTCGGGGGTCTGCTCGGTCATGGCTTCGCTGGCAATCTAGATGCGGATGCAATCGGTTGCAGAAGGGTCGCGAGAAGAGTTAACATAGCATTGGGATGTTCGAAATTGGCACGTAGTTATTGGGCTGTGCTGGGCCCCCGCTCTTGCGCAGAACCTTGTGAGCCGTGCGACGCCAGCTCGCGGGTGCAGGTGGGCCAGGTTTGACGACGTTGTTGCACGTGTCAATGAGAACAGACAGAAGCACTGCTCCTCCCGATTTCGCAATTTCCGCCGTCATCTCAGAAGGGTCCGCGGCTCTGTCGGTCCGCAATTGCCGGGGAGCTGTCTCAAAATCATTGCTCGTGAATGGTGGGATTGCGTCCGGTTGTGCGTCGTGCTCTTGCTGGCAGTAGCCGTGGCAATCTGCGCGGTCGTCGTCGATATAGAGGTCTTCGTAGAATGTCGCGAACACGTCTGCAATGGACTGTCGGTCGCGACGCGCGCTGCCATGCTTGTCTGTCATGCCAGCGATGGGCGCGCGATGTCTGATGCTGTTCGATCCGCCGATCCGATGCAGATCCTTTTGCTCCGAGAGTACGCGTGCAATTGTTGCCGCGCGGGTCGCTCGTTTGATCGCTCGGATCTTTCTGCGCATGCGTTTGTTGAGTTGGCTGCGTGCTGCTGCGTCTTGGTGCGATGTGCCCCGCCGTCGCTGGAGCAGCTGCTTGAGGGCGTCGCTGGTTGGGCGGTTGCTGCGCTGGCGGTCGGCTGTCGGAGGATGGATTTGTAGTAACACCTCTTTGATTGACTCTTCGATTCGTTCACATTACATCTGCGTCTTCTACTCCCCCAAAAAAGTCGAGCTTGTCGGACCAGGTGGTTTGGTACTGCGTCGCGTCCGCGGGCGGCCATGTTGGTCGCGGTTGTTGTCGGCGTTGCTATCGCGATGCTGTTGTCGTCGCGTGGTTGTTCATGCTGAATGCGCAAGATAATTTCACACAGCGGTGGTCTGAACCCATATCTACGCCAGAAGTGGCCCACAATCCTTCACAATCTTCCAACATGGATTGTTCACAATAACATAGTCAAGTTGGGCGTTTTCCTTTTTGGCGAAGTGCATGCGGTTAATTTGTTGCGCTGCTTGTAAAAGAATGCGAAGGCGAGTCGCAGCCGGTGGTGGCCGGTCCATTGCTCGAGCCAGTGCCATCGAGAATTCATTGGGCCGACTCCATGTGAACCCAATAAGTGTCGTGAATCCTCAGGCGCTCTGCGCCTGGCGCGGACGTTGCAGTCTGCGCCAATTAAGGTCATCATGCGTGCTGAGTGTGCTTCTTGGCATACTTGGGATCAGATGGCATACGTTGCTTGGACACGTTTGTAGGCATACCCGCTGTGAGGAACATATGCGCTGACGAGCCGTAGTGTCTTTCATCCACTTTTGACGTCAAAACCGCGATCCTCTCATCGACAAGGGTAAAGGAAGTAGTACGTTGAACCCAACGCTTGTGCATAATGATGCCAACTCCACGTTGGTAGTCGCTGTAACCAGATGCTAAAAATGCATGCCACCCATTTGCTTCCCAGAACTATTGTTTGTCTGTCCGTTATGTCTCTTTAAATGTAAGCGCATCCCATTCGAGACAATCGAACTCCGCGCATAGTTCGGAAACCCTGTCGTTTGACGACAGCCCACGAACGCTTTTGTGGTATATCACAAACTTGTTGCTGTCTGTTCTTGCATTCACTGGGGGGTGCACGGTGGTGGATGTTGGGATTCGGAACTGGGTTGCTGGAAGTCGATTGCGCGGACTCGAGACTCGGTGGGCGGCGGCCGAAGGAGGGGAAAACGAGCGAAGGCCGCTCAGGGGGACGGGTCACACCCAGAGCGCGTGGCCGGCACGGTCAGCGGCGGCTGCGCCGGGGCACAGAAGCGGCAGGGCGCAGTGCGGGCACCGGGACAAGCCAGGTGGGTCAGGATGCGATGCGATCAGTGCCGAAGCCTCACTTGATTGCGGCGAATCCCCCAATACCTGGATGCCTGCCGCTCGCTGGGCCCAAGGCGCCGGCGTGGCGGGCCCCGACGCCCGACTCGCCGGCCCCACTCGCACCGAGTGCGCGTCCGAGCGGGGGGCACGGCGCCCGCAGCCCCGGCAAGCCACGCGGCACGCCCAGTTGTCGGCTACCCCGCAGGCGCAGCTCCACATGGGCTGCCAGGGACCGGTCAGCCGCTCGGCTGCTTCACCATGCCGAGCCCCAGCACCACCGCTCGGCTGCTGCCGCTGCTGCTCCTGCTGCCGACGTTGCCGCCTGCCCGTTCCATCCCCAACAGCCGCACGGGCCGTCCCAGCGCCGAGCAGCGCCCGCAGCGCCGCCAACGTCTCCCGGTCGGAGCGGCATGGCCCCGCGCCAGGATCCAGCTGCCCGCGCTCGCGGCAGGTGGACATCTGGCGGTTGTGGTGCTGCTGCAGCAGACCGGCCTCCTGGCCAAGCCGCACCAGCCTGCGCCTGCCCGCGCGCCCGCCGCTGCCGTCGGTGCCTTGCCGGGCTGCAGTTCCCAGCGGCCTCGCCTGGCCCGCCGTCGCGGCCTCGCCTGGGCCCGGCCCCAGCCCCTTATCGCAGCGGGCGCGCCCCTGCGCGCGCGCTGGCAGAGAGGATTTGAGCCGAACCTACACAGACACACACACACAGACACACACACACACAGACACACACACACACACACACACTCTCCACCTCGCGATACTCACAAAAAAGGGGGCAACGGACAGGGGTATGTCGCCATGAGGGTTGGAGGCCCTGGCGGAAGCTGGCCATGGTCCCCTGAACTTTTCCCAGGGCCAGTCCGTGATCCTGAGTCGTTTTTTAACAGGCCCGAGGCCCTGGGGGGGCACCAGGAGCCTCGAGACAGCGACACGCCTCCAATGGCCCCCTCCTTCCAGGATCCTCTCGATGAGGGTGGGAAAAGGGAGAGTACAGCAAAGACGCTGAAATAACTTAAGCAACAATTTCGGGTCGCAAAGGGCTGGATGTTTTTACGGTCCTTCCGTGGCTGTTTCTCTAGCGTTTCTCGTCCACGCAGGCGCTTCTGATGCCAGTAGTGGGCTTCGCTCCTTATTTAGAGCCCCTTCTTTCAGCAGCCCGACTGTACTTCAAGGAGAGTTCGACGTGGGCGATTCCCAGCGACTGTTGGGCGCAACGCGGGTCCCCACTGCAGGCCCCTGGCCCGCGCTCGCTGGCTAGTCTGGCGGCGCGCTCAGCATAACATTATGCGGCCGAGAAAAAACGCACGCCAACGAGACGAGAAGGTGGAGGGGCGACGAGGAAGAAGCGAGGGGGGCGAAGGGAGAGGAGGGGAGAGAGTGGAGGGTAGAAAGAGGGGACGGAAGTTGGAGAGGAGGAAAAGACAAGCTAGGTGCGCTCGCGTCATATCTGACGTCCTACCCCTCCCTCCCATCCCTTACCATGGCGCTGATTTTCTCTATCCGCGGACGCGTGTCGTAGCGGACCTGTAACTCCGCGCGCGCGTGCGTAGTGGGTGGTGGTGCGCGTGCGTGCGTGCGTGCGTGTGTGCGTCGTGGTGGTGGTGATGGTGGTGGTGGTGGTGGTGGTGGTGGTGGTGGTGGTGCCGGTGGTGGTGGTGGTGCTGGTGGTGGTGCTGGTGGTGGTGGTTGTGGTGGTGGTGGTGGTGGTGGTGGTGGTGGTGGTGATGGTGGTGGTGGTGGTGGTGTGTGAGTGTGCGTGTGTGCGCGTGTGCTGTGGCATGGCACGGGAAATGACGCCAGCGCTGCAGCGGGAGCACGAGTCGAAACGGGCGGAAGCGCGGAAATGAGGCCAGCGCTGCAGCGGGAGCACGATTCGGAACGAGCGGAAGCACGGAAATGAGGCCAGCGCTGCAGCGGGAGCACGATTCGGAACGAGCGGGGCCCGAAAATGAGGCCGGCGCCTCAGCGAGAGCAGCATTTTGAAAAAAATGCAGTCGAAAACCCAACTCCCGGGAATCCTGTGTAAAAAAGCAGGACGCGGGGGGGGGTCGGCTACTCCCAGCACGCCATCAGGGGAAGAGGGAGAGTAGTATTCATATTGAGTAAGTGTCGAGGGGTAAAGGATAATGGAGGGGGAGGGAAAGGGTGGACAGAGGAGGGAGGAACGGGGCGCTCGCAAGTCGGCGTGCCAGATGGATGCCTAGGACCAAGCGGGAGCGTATGCCCACCAGCTCCGAGGGCCTGGGGTGCAAAACCCGCTGCCACTCTGGAAGAGGACAGTAAGGACGCAGACGAGGAAGAAACTGAATAAGAACAAAACCACTGTCGACTTGTCAATACTCGCGCAAGGGACACCGCTACAAATCCTGCATCCCCTGAAGCCAGACATTGCCTCGGAGTGGCCTCCAGAGTTCCTTCTGCCCAGCATCAACAGGGTCCGCCAAAGCGCACCATCCGCCCCACCTTCCGTCTCGAGCTCCTCCTCCTCCTCGAACTCCTCCTCCTCCTCCTCCTCCTCCTCCTCCTCCTCTTCCTCCTCATCCTCCTCCTCCTCCTCCTCACCACCACGACCACCTCCTCCTCCTCCTCCTCCTCCTCCTCCTCCTCCTCCTCTTCCTCTTCTTCCACCACCGCCTCCTCCTCCTCCTCCTACTCCTCCTCTTCCTCCTCCACTGCCACCACCTCCTCCTCCTCCCCCACCTCGGCGACGGCGTCAGCCAGGACATCTCCTGCAAGCTGTAAGCGCACAGATCGGGTGCGCCGAAGATGCGGGGGCCAGGAAAAGGGGAGGGGGCTGGCGCACCATGACCCGAAGCATGTGCGCAAACAGGGAGGGGGGCAGGGCCAGGAGGCGTGCTGAAAGAGCGGACCATGAAATCGGGTAAGCGCCATGCCCCTAGTCGACGGCTGGAGGAACAAAAACAACATTATCCCGGCAAAGCAACCTAACAGCGATGTGTAGGAGCATATCTGGAAGCATTCCCCTTAAGATTCAGATGAGAATCCAGTTGTAGAATTGTGCTGTTCTCGCAGTCGTAGTCGCATTCGCGATGACAGTCGCAGTGGCAACGGCAGTCGCAGTCACAGCCTCAGCCTCAGCCTGCCTCAGCCTCAGCCTCAGCCTGCCTCAGCCTCAGCCTGCCTCAGCCTCAGCCTCAGCCTGCTTCAGCCTCAGCCTCAGTCTGCCTTCAGCCTCGGCGTCAGCCTCAGGCTGCCTCAGCCTCAGCCTGCATCAGCCTCAGCCTCAGCCTGCCTCAGCCTGCCTCAGCCTCAGCCTGCCTCAGCATTCAAAATGTGGCCCGGGAATGTAGTTCTGGGAACTCGAAAAACACGAAGTGGCCTACAGTTGGCTCCGGGCATTCAAAATCATACCCAGGAATGGAGTTCTGGGAACTCGAAGACCACGAAGTGGCCTACAGTTGGCTCCGGGCATTCAAAATCATGGCCCGGAATGGAGTTCTGGGAACTCGAAGACCACGAAGTGGCCTACAGTTGGCTCCGGGCATCAAAATGTGGCCCGGGAATGGAGTTCTGGGAACTCGAAGAGCACGAAGTGGCCTACAGTTGGCTCCGGGCATTCAAAATGTGGCCCGGGAATGGAGTTCTGGGGACTCGAAGACCACGAAGTGGCCTACAGTTGGCTCCGGGCATTCAAAATGTGGCCCGGGAATGGAGTTCTGGGAAGTCGAAGAGCACGAAGTGGCCTACAGTTGGCTCCGGGCATTCAGAATGTGGCCCGGGAATGGAGTTCTGGGAGGTCGAAGAGCACGAAGTGTGTGACTGTATGCGAAAAACGATCCCGGCCGGCAAACCCCAACACCTCCCCAACGGCTGCCCAGACCCCCCTGTGGAGTCATCTGATGCTCTCTTTTGACACCACTAGAAACCTATCAGTCTTCGCTGTTAGGTAATAAACATAAACTTTCGGAGGTCCGCGCGGATTTCTTGGATCGGCGCTGGAAGCTCCCTGGCGCGTAGAGCGCGCCAGGGGCGGCGCTGGGATCGCCGCCAGGGGGACCAGCGCCGATTCAGGATATCCGTACGGGCTTCTCGCAGTCTATGTTCATGCTGTTTGTTCCCTCTTCGATGTTCATCAACCCCCTCTTCGACGCCCCCGAACACACAGATCGGCAAAGCGATGGCAGCGCGCGTGGGCAGATCACGGGGGCGTCTTGTGGCCCACCAGGCCGGCGGGCGGCCACCGCCGGCAACTGCAGCGAGCGGCGGGGGTCTCAGGCCTGCGTAGGCTTCGGGGGCGGCCCCGCGCCAAGGCACAACGCACGCCACCCCACCCACGAGGGCGCGCAGAAACAACCATCGACGACGACCACCACCACAACCGCCACCACCACGACAGGCAGCGGCGGCGAGGGCGACGGGCGACGGTGATGTCGACGACGACCGCTAACGAGCGGCAATGACGGCCACCGGTGCGTGCAGACGCAACGAGAGCCAGATAGGAAGTTCGAGACGACCCCAGAGGGGGCAAGATAGCCAAGAATAGCCCCGGGAAGGCGCCAAGAAGGCCTCCGAGTGACCCCAGAGGTTCCCAAGATGCCCTATGAATGCTAAAGAGGGGCTCAAGAAGCGGGGGAGAACAACGTAGAGGCAGGGCAACATAGGAGGAGGAGGAGGAGAAGGAGGAAGAGGAGCAGCAGCAGCAGCAGAGGACGCAGAGGGGGAGGAGAGTGAAGCCCTGGGAGACACAGAAACTGGCGGATGGAAATGGAGAGAAGGGCATGAAGAGGAGACCAGCACAGGAAGATGACCTCTCCGCCCTGTGCACCTTCTTTTCCTGGCTGCTGCCCAAGAAGACCCAATGTTACCACCATCACCGAAACCGGGATCATCTTCCCTCGGTGGAGGCACACCGCCGATAGTAGTACGTAGTGTTGGTGTAACCTCTAGTCGTGGGCAAAACATATATCAGTATCCGCGGCCTCGCGGGCCAGGCCACAGAGTCGCGACCCCGCGGATACACGGCGTTTCTTCCCCGGATGCCCCGCGCTGAAGGCATCCGTCCGAGCGCGTATCCGCGGGATCGCGCCCGAGAACCCAGACCGCGAGGGCGCAGATACGGATATGCTCGCCACTCGTGATCTGGGCCTCCAAGACTGGTGACGAGCGAACAGCGCACACCCATACCCCTAGGGGGGTCGGAGCGAGGAGGATCGGCTATGGGTACGGGTGCGGGTTGTCGGACGCCGGGGGAGGCTCCCGCTCGAGCGGGGACCCCCATCCGACAACACGCGCCCATAGCCCCCTCCATCCCTCCTACGGGTATGGGTGTGTGTGTGTGTGTTTGTTCCTTCGTCGACTGGCCCTCCTCCGAGGGACGGCGGTGGCCCCGCTCCGCCGAGGGGCCTTCGACTGCTCCAGGTCGTCGGCGGCCAGCCGGCGCCGGAGCAGCACGGGCAGCGGCAGCGGCGCACATCGCTGGGCAGCGTCGCGGGGGCCGCCTTCGGCGGCCAGGGGCGAAGGGACAACCTCCTCCTCCTCCTCCTCCTCCTCCCTCCTCCTCCTCCTCCTCCTCCTCCTCCTCCTCCTCCTCCTCCTCCTCCTCCTCCTCCTCCTCCTCCAGCTCATGCTTCTCCTCATCGTCGTCGTCGTCCGCCTCCTCCTCCTCCTCCCTCCTCCTCCCTCCTCCCTCCCGCGCCATGAAACGCTTGGGACCCCTTGGAGTCATATTGAGATACCTTTGGAGCCTCTTGGGCCCTCTTGGACACGCCGTCCCGCGGATACCAACCCAGACGGCCCAGGGCGCCCTCCAAAGGCCCACAAACGTCCGGGAGGGCCCCTGGGCTCCGCGAAGGTTCTCGGCCTAAGTTTCCTGGGCGTGGCCCTCGAGTTTTGTGGCAACTCATGGCAGGGTTCCTCTCTTGGTGGTAGCTCCAGGGGGCCCGCTTTGGAGGTTCGTCGAGGAGGAGGCATGAGAAGTAGCAGGAGCAGACAGCAGATGAAGAGCAGTGAGCGCCTTGCAGCATCAACTGGGCAGGGTTTCGTGCCACCCATCGTGCTGGAGAGTAGCGAGAGGCATGTTTAGCACGCCAGTGAGCTCAGGCCTACAGTTCCAGATTTTGAGTTGCAGCATAGCCGAGGCAGAGGCCGAGGGAACTGACGTGGCGGGAGGACTGGTCGTCGTGGGTCTAGTCGTCGGAGGGCGGGGTGTGTTCTCTCGTGCTTCTGTGTCGGGCCCTGCATGGGGCTGCGTGCCTGCCAAAGGTTCCGATCGGCCAGTGCTGTCCTGTGCAGTGTGCGACAGTCGCTACACAGTTATGTTGGAGTGTTTGTTGTCAGGCATTATGCCTGTGGCTACCCCTCGGAGTACGGTTATCTCGTGCAGGCATGCGTGCAGCAGAGCATTGATAGCAAGGACTGCATGAGCTGGTTTTGGTCTGGTCCTTTCCTCTTCCTCCATCCGCAACATCCTCCATCCTCCATCCGCAACATTCCCCTTCCCATCCTTTGTTTCTCCTCCTCCTCCTCCTCCCCCTCCTCCTCCGCCTCTTCCTCCTCCTCCGCCCCCTCCTCCTCCTTCTCCTCCTCCTCCGCCTCCTCCGCCTCCTCCGCCTCCTCCGCCTCCTCCTCCGCCTCCTCCTCACGTCATCCTCCCCTCCCCCTCCATTCGTCCCTCCCTCCTTTCCTCCCGTCCCCTCCCCTCCTCGCCCGCCGCGGCGGAGGCGCCTTCGCCACCAAGGGGTGGGTCGGCATTCGAGGGCGTGACCGTCGGCGCGACCTCGCACAGGGCGAAGGACGAGGGAGAGTAGCATCCCTAGGGAGAAGGGCCTCCCGGAGTACCAAGTGAGCAACGGAAACCAAGGGGTCTCACACGAGATGGCATGACGACCTTACGCGGTGGTTTACGCAGGCCGGTAGCGTAGCACGTCACCTGAACATTGGCAACGAGGGCGCTTACGCGAGGCCTTACGCGGGCAACTTACGCGCCAATGTCCATGCAGACGACCCCAATGTTGTGCGCCTCTCATGTCGGACCTGCTTTAGAACAGGAACATACCGTAAACGGATATAGCCCTTTGTCCGACCTTGTACTGCGTCGAACGCAACGGCCGCGGTTGTCTACAGGCGTATCCACCCTGAATGTGTCTATATACGCAACGGCCCCCAATGTGTGACAAAAAAGCTGTGGCCAGAAAATTACAACGGTATTCGGCATAGGCCCTCGCGACTGGTCTTCTGTGAGCAATTGGACTTAGCCCTCCAAGGGATCACAAGGAACGGAATCTTGGAGGTCCGTGGCCATTTTCGGATCGCCTGAGACCCTCCAAGGGCACTGAAACTGAAGAACTGATCACTGGGGAAAGCCCCTCGTCCAGGACCCGCTTCCTTCAGGACCCCTTTCCTCCCTGGCGAAGGGAGGCAGGGGGAAGTCCCTCTGAAGGCGGCGGCCTTGCTAGCGAACAGGCAATGGAGTCCTGGATTGGTGCAGTCAGCCAGAGAAGAAGGGCCAGGCAGAAAGGCCGCTGCAAATTCCCGCAAGCAGTGGAAGCCGAAGCCAAAGCAGAAGCGAAGAGAAAAATGTAAAAGGGCCACCCTGCATGCTTGGTTGACCGAGCATCATTGAGCGGTGCAGCAGCTTCCCCTGAACACAGCCCCCAGAGCACAGCCAGCATATCGGTTTTGCACCTCCATGTCCTTGTGGATGTGGGGGAAACTTGGGGAGAGGATCGTCCCTCCCTGCACGCATCGATCGTGCGAAATCGTGTGACCCGCTTCCGCCGAAGGCCAAACCCGCCGCGACTCTCGGGGGCCTCTCGAACGTCTCGTTGGGGTCCTCATGTGGGGTTTCTTGTGGGCGTTCTGTGGGCCTCGCGGGGGCCTCGTTGGTCCTCTGAGGCTCCGCGGAAGCACTCTCGGAGCCTCCTGGAACCACCGCCGAAATGTCCGAAAAGAAGCCCTGCAAGCCAAAATGATCCTCATGGCGCTAACCGAACAAGTTCGGATTGGGGCTTTGCTGGGGCCTCTCTTGCAACCACTTTGGACCCGGCCTTCCAGTCGTCTTCTTCGGAACTGCGCCCGCGGGCGGGCAGGCGCCCCCGGAGGCAGGCCGAAACACTCTTGGCCGAATGACAAAAACATGATTCGAGTGAGCGACAGCAGTGCGCGTGACGCTTGACAAATCGCGGCAACCCGAGCAGAAGCTTGGCAAGCCGCGCGGTACCACCGCCCATGCAGCAGGAACTCTCAAAAAACATCGCAGCTTAAACGGCACAGCTCGCAGAAACAAACCATTCGAGAAGGCCCACGTGGGTCTCTCGACGTCCGGCGGGGAGGAGCGGACCCGCGGGCCCCCTATAATAGACGAGGGGGGCCAGGCGCTCTTTTGTCCGGGCGACGGTGCGCGCGCAGTCCTCGGCGCCAGCGCTGGCCAACAGCCACCGGTGCACGCCCCCCCCGCGGCCGCGCGGGGAGCGGGCAAGTAAGCGGTTGGACCGGGCGGGCCTTCGCAGAGAACGAGGGGAACAGCACGCTGCTGAGCAGAGGAAGCTATGGCGCAAACCCCCTCTCCTGCGAGCTTTTGTGGCAGCGAAGCGATGACAAATGTTTTGCCTTGAGCCACAATGGGTTCCGAAATTCAACTGCCAACGTCCTCTGACATGACGTTATTGAGGCTATGCTCAAGATCCACTCATGAAACACAAAACGCTAAACCTGTTCTCGATAAAGGCTAAACTTCCACACTGGTCGGAATTTCGTCCAGGCTTAGCACGTAAAAGACGGTTCGAAATCACTGATGGATTCCTTCCCACACGGAAACCCCTTGGTCACCGTCCGTCAATAACTGGCAGTGAAGATGGCAGAAGACGGGAGGACAGGAACAAAGCGGAGAAACAGGCAGGGCGCTACTGAAACGCATGGACAGCGGAAGCTGAGGGATGGAGAAAGGAGGATGAGGAAGGGTTGGGAGGTACCACCTCACCACCACCACCACCAGCCTGATCCAGGGACGTGAGCTCGGGACAGCTGCTGCCAGGAGGCTGCGTGAGATCGCCCTTTCAGCTCGGGGGCTGCTCGCCGTCATTCGATTTCCGCTCGTCGTCAGATCGATTAGTGCAGCATTCCCGCGGGTGACATCCTCTTTTGTCAGGGTATATACGGGCATGCGGCTGTGGTGCACCCAGCGGACACGTCCGCGGCTCTCTCACGACTATCTGAGATAATGGCAGAATCGATGGCCGTGCGTCGGTATCTGGCACTCGCCGAACCTTCTTATGCATAGTATCGCATATACTCTTAGCGTCATCAACATGTATATGACGCTCTTGCCCCTGCAACGAACAGCCCCTTCGAAGTACTGTTGTAAAGGGTCCAGAGGCTTTGTTACATTCGAAACATCCACGTCGTGAAACACTACATCTCGGCATAACATCTCAGAAATTCAACCTCTGAAACGGCAGCCAACAAGGCCTGCGTCTCTCCAGCTAAAGTGGAAGGGACCTTGCAGCGGGGTTTGCAACTTCTCCACCCCAAAATATACGCCTTGACAGTTCAGTTGTCCAGGACAGACCTGTCGGCGGCAAGCACCAGCCACGCGCCTCGCGCGGGGTCTGCCGGCAGACCTCGCTCATCTACCATGTCTTCGGGAGCACTATGTACTTTTCTTGATCTATGGTGGCCTTCCCCTTCCCCAGGGTAAGCCTTCGCCCCGCGTGCTCCACTGGGCCGGCACGGGCGCCCCTGTACTTCCCAAGACGAAAACGCCCCTCAAGAGTGCGCCTAAACCATTGTCAAGCCTCCCCATCTACACGCCCGATGATGAAGTCGTCGACGTCGACGAGGATCACGCTTGCAAGGTGCCCCTTCGAATCGTACTTTACCCGCCAGCAGGGCCCCGGGAGAATCCGAACGAAGCCCTGAACCGTTAGAAACTTCGTCGCGGTTCTTCGCCAGGCGACTGGAGCACCATCCAACCACGCAGGTGAACCAATAATTTAATTAAGAGCCCAGGCTCCACAAGCACTCCTTCACAAGGTTCTACATCTATATATATATATATATATATGTATATATATACACCACCCGTCGGCCTGGACATCCCGTCGCCCTGGCTGAAAGCATTATTGACGTCCGCGATATCGATCTAGAGCCCGAGACTCACAGCAATATGGAGAAACATCATGATGGCGGACGCATGGGGAATTGGGGGCGGGAGAAATGAATTCGATGGCTCCGGTCGCGCTCGTGGACCCCCATTCGGCCCTGTCGGAAATGTCGAACTCAGCTCTTTCCGAAGAGGCCAGATTCTTCAGCGACGCCCCCCCCCCCCCCCCCCCCCGCCCCCCCCCCCTGCTGGCTGCAAAGACCCCGCTCCCCCCCCCCCCCCCCCCCCCTGGCCTGGACCCTGGCAGGACAGACCACCCCCTCGGCCTGAGGGGGGGGGGGGGGGCAGAAAACTGCACTGGATATCTATATCTCTCTCGCTCTCTCTCTTTCTCTTTCTCTGTCTCTTCCTCTTTCTCTTGTCTCATGTTTTTTTTGTTTCTCTCTCTCTCTCTCTCTCTCTCTCTCTCTCTCTCTCTCTCTCTCTCTCTCTCTCTCTCTCTCTCTCTCTCTCCCTCTCCTCTCCCTCTCTCCCTCCCTCCCTCCCTCCCTCTCTCTCCTCTCTTTCTCTCTCTCTCTCTCTCTCTCTCTCTCTCTCTCTCTCTCTCTCTCTCTCTCTCTCTCTCTCTCTCTCTCTCTCTCTCGCTCTCTCTCTCTCTCTCTCTCTCTCTCTCCTCTCTCTCTCTCTCGCCTCTCTCTCTCTCTCTCTCTCTCTCTCTCTCTCTCTCTCTCTCTCTCTCTCTTCTCTCTCTCTCTCTCTCTATCTCTCTCTCTCTTCTCTCTCTCTCTCTCTCTCTCTCTCTCTCTTCTCTTTCTCTCTCTCTCTCTCTCTCTCTCTCTCTCTCTCTCTCTCTCTCTCTCTCTCTCTCTCTCTCTCCCCCTCTCTCTCTCTCTGACGCAGAGGGGGCCTGCTGCGGGCCCGACCCCGGGCCTCGACGTCCGCCGCCCACTCGGACACCGAGAGGCTGCCGGGCCTCGACGTCCGCCGCCCACTCGGACACCGAGCGGCTGACCTCTCGGCTGGAGGAGATCCTCGCCCCCGGAGGGGTCAGACCTGGGGGGGGGGGGGGGATAGGAAGCCCTCGCCTCGGGCTCCTCGGGGCGCCCCCCACCTGACGACGACGCGGGCGACTCCTTCGCCCCCGCGGGGTCTGGCTCCTCAGTCCGGAGGCGCTTCGGCCCCAGAGGGCCGCTCAGAGCTCGCGCCCTCCGGGCGCGCAAGGGTGCGTCTCCATTCGGTTCCGCCAGCATGCCTCAGGATTGGGTCGGGGAAGGACGCGGAGATGGGGCAGGGGGGGGGCCGAGGGAAGAAGGGGGAGCGTTGGGTTCCAACGTGGGCCTGTTAGTATAGAGAGGGTCATGAAACAAACGTTGCAACACATATTCTGCGTATCTGTGCATATGCGGTCTGGCAGATCGGGGCGGCATCATCGCGACGCCAAGGGGCGTCGCGGACTCGAGCCTTTGGCCTGGAAGCACGAAGCGCACGATTACCCATATCATGAAGTTCTGCAACCAGTCACTGTGCTCTGGGGGGGCGCGGACACGCAAAACACTGTTCAGCTAATCGTTAGCTGGCGCCCGCCTCGAACTCATGCCCCATCCCCGCCTTTTCCAAATATCCATTCGCTGCGGCCCCACCCTCTTCATGCCCCTCCGATTGCCCCGGTCCTCATC